GGGAGAAACATAATGAGAACATTTGGAAGAACATTCCAGTAAGGATCGTACGTTGGTTAGTACTGTGGTAGGTTGGGAAACAAAACACATGGGGTTGTCTGGCTTTCCTATCATTCCATACTTCTTGTCAACTGCTGAAGCTAACAAGTTGACCGAAGATGATAATGAAATGATTATCAATAAAATCTCAAAACACCACATTTTTTTCTTATTTCAAAATCAAATTTTGTTCAATAGAATACTTTTCAAAAGTGAATTAATAAAAGTTGATGTTAAAACTTATCTTATTGCACAATTTTTTTAGCTCATCCTCTGAGACCAGAATTTCGCGACATGTATTTAGCATGGACTAGTCACACAAGCACACGACATGATACATTCGCCGTTATGTTTCCTTACTATATATACTCTCCAATACTTCTCTACCACAAACTACTCAATTACTAAATTTCTTCGCAGTACTCCATATTACTACATGTTACTCCGCTAGTAAATATACTAGCACATATTCCCAACCATGATTGACGTCAGCAAGCAGCGTCCACGTCAGCGTTCATTGATTTGCAAGCTCTTAATTATAGTTTTCAGCTTGCAAACAATGAAACGCAATTCGGTGCAAGCGCCAAATGATAACTGAGCGTTTCTTACGTTCATACACGGTGTGAAATAACTTACTCCCGAAATGGTATGAACTAAAACGACAAAGACGATGAGGATGACTATGAGGATGATGAGGATGGTGAGGATGATGAGGATGATGAGAATGACGATGAGGATGGTGGGGATGACGATGAGGATGGTGAGGATGACGATGAGGATGGTGAGGATGACGATGAGGATGATGAGGATGACGATGAGGATGGTGAGGATGACGATGAGGATGATGAGGATGGTGAGGATGGTGAGGATGACGATGAGGAGGGCGACAAAAGTGGCGTACCAACTGCAGAGCAAAAGAGGTAACCACCCTGAACGTCATGATGTAGGTACGCAAAATTTTACAGCATTCAAAATAAATTTCAGTAACAACGTTTCTAAAGGATTTGTACATCTAAAAACATCATTCAAGACTGTTATTTATAAGAACAAACCGGTACAAAACATGCCATCTAAGCATTTTTCAGATTTGTCACAGACAACTCTATTTAATGTAGTTATTTAAAAATGGATTTACTGGCTGGTAGAGAAGGGCTTGAACGGGCCCTGTTCTCCCGAGTGCAAGCCCTCTTGCTAGGCCTCCGGATAACACTACAACAACTACTACAACTACTACTACTACTACTACTACTTCTATAACGTTATGTTTGGCAACGTTAATGACAACATTAATTTCTTGCAACAACCACCACAGCTGCATTGCACTGACCTCTAAAATAGCGGCCACAATATGCATCATAACATTCTTTTTTTTTATTATTTTTTGTTTTTTTCTTATTATTCTTATTTGTCTCACTTTAAAATTTTAAAATCTAACTATGTATGTATTGTAGAAAGTGACGTTAATGTTTAAAAGTTTCAAATTACTGAACAAAAACGAACTGAACCGAAATTCCAACCATTATTATTATTTACTTTGCGTGCTTGTATGTATGCATATGTGTGTTTGTATGTATGTGTGTGTATGTGTGTGTGTAACACATGTGTGTGTTTAACACATGTGTGTGTTTAACACATGGATTAAAAACCCGAACAACTACTACTACCACCATGTCACGATCAGAAAACAAGTTGTGTAGTATACATTTTAAAAATATCACTTTAAAAGATTCTTTAGTGAGGCCCTTAATTTCAAAGACCCATGCCAAATGCCCCTCTTGACCTCTCGTCATTCAGGGACTGACCACCACCCACCACTACAAATTCCACATCGCAACAACTAAGCAATATCGAAGTGCCTCCTTAGATAGTGACCGTAACAAGTATTTTTTTGTTATTTTTCTCTATTTTATTATTATTCTTATCTATCTTTTAAACTCTAAAATCTAACTATGTATGTATGTATATATATATATATATATATATATATATATATATGTTATTGGTAAACCATTACCCGCCATAGGCCAGACGTACGTTTCGTCTCTCACGAGACTCGTCAGTAGCCTTCGAATATGGCTTAAGATAACTATTGTATGATATTAGTATAACAAGTACATCCATTAACTTACATTCATGGTAATACAATGTATATATATATATATATATATATATATACATTGCCATGTATATATATATATATATATATATATTATTGCCATGGGTACGCAGATGACATGCAGATTTGCGTTTCATGTTTCCCAGATGAGATGCCTACCGTATTAGAGAAACTGACAAAAACTATATCTGATGTCGGCTCGTGGCTGGGTCAAAGTAGGCTAAAGTTGAATCAGACTAAGACTCAGTTCATGTTGGCTGGTACATGGCGACAAACATCAGCGGTTGAACCTTCATCGATTAACATCAGCATGACTGATATAAGTTTCAGTAAAACGGTTACCATTTTGGGAATTGTGATGGACTCCCGTATGACAATGGGTCCACAAGTCAGTCTATTGGTTAAAAAATGTATGCTCCAACTAGGTCAATTACGTCAAGTCACAAAATCGGTAGATAGAGATACAATGACTCTTTTAGTACATGCTTTCGTCAACTCTAGATTGGATTATTGTAACAGTCTTCTATATGGCGTAGCTGATAAACTGTTGTCTAAACTTCAGATGGTTCAGAATCAGGCTGCTAGAATGATGTATCGCAAATTAAAATTTGATCATGCATCACCAATTCTGAAGGAGTTGCATTGGCTGCGTGTTAAACAAAGAATCATGTTCAAGTTGGGTGTAATGGTATTTAAAAGTTTGAATGGTCTGGCTCCGAAATATTTAGAAGATAAGTGTATTCGAGTTTCGTCTATGTCATCACATGGGCGTCTAAGGTCTGCTGATTCAAACGCGCTGTATGTTAGAGATCGGAATCTGAAAACAGATTTTGCAGTTGCTGGGCCTATTTTTTGGAACAGCCTACCTATCGAACTAGGTATATCCGGGTAATCATTAGCTGAGTTTAGAAAACGTCTAAAGACATACCTATTTGGAAAACTCCTAGTGATCTCAACCGATGATGGCTTCGCTTTCAACATGCTTCATACTAGGAGAGCGCTTATGAGAAGCAATTATAATTGGCGCTATATAAATACAATATTCGATATTTGATTTGATATATATATATATATATATATATATATATATATATACTATCCATGACATATATGGATATTGTATCCATGGTATGTATACATACATATTTTGAAAGTGACGTTATTGCTAGTAAGTTTAAAAATTTTAATTACTGAACACCGAAACGGACTGGACTGAAACTCCAACTACATGTGTGTGTGTGTGTTGTCTGCGTGTACGTGTGTGTGTGTACGTTTGGTGGGTGATTTGAAAAATATGGAGGATGAATTCATAATTGAGTTTGTGTATGTTTAATATATGCAGGTGTTTTTGTGTTGTCTCAGTGCCTAAATATGTACGTCGTATGTGTGTGTGTGTGTGTGCGTGAGTCTGTGTCGGTGTGTATTCAGTACGTGTGTACCATCAAAGAACCAACGTTACTAAATTCTGAAACTGAAATTCATCCCAAATGACACGGCAAGTCCACACACGTAGGTACATCAAGTTAGCTTATTATTATTACTTTCAATTTTTTTATTTTTAGTGAGTTACTTTGGCATTAAGAATACATAAATATTGATTTTGTTAACATGTGTTGAGTTTATTATTATAATAATAAAAATATTATTAATAATATTATTAATTCTGTCTTAATTATATCCTAGATGTATCAACAACAACACATACGCACGTACACACAAACACACATTGCACGTGATGTGTTGGGATCTTACCTGATTCTAAAACTCTTGATGTCTCTCATAAGTTTCGTAGTCTAGGTTTTATCTTTGATTCTACTATGTCTCTCTCTTCTCAGATTAATAGTGTTGCTAGAAGTTCTTACTTTCATCTACGTAGAATAAAAAAACTTTTGCCTTTTCTTGATGATCCTACTCTTCTCCTTCTTGTTACTTCGTTAGTCTTATCTAGGATTGATTATTGTAACTCGCTCTACTATGGTCTTCCTGACTCTATACTCTATCCTTTAAGTAAAGCTTTTAACTCTGCTGCTCGTCTAGTTGCTCGTGCCCCTTTCTTTTCTCATATATCTCCATATCTTGTTCTCTTGCACTGGCTACCTATAAAATATAGAATAATTTTTTAAATTTGCACGTTCATGTATAAGTCTCAATCTAAATTATTTCCTAAGTACTTATCAGATATATTAATTGAACCTAAACGCCCCGGTTTACGATCGTCTTCTTCTTCTCGCTTTTTCTTAACTCGTGTTAAACACTCTTTTGCCAAATCTGCTTTTGCTTTTTCTGGTCCTTTTCTCTGGAACTCTCTACCTACTTCTCTAACTATTTCTCCATCGCTTGCGAAGTTCAGAGCGGATCTCAAGACCCATCTGTTTTCAAAATTCATTGAGGAGCGCTGTTGAACATCGCGGAAATAGCGCTTTATAAGCCAATTGATTGATTGATTGATTGATCTGTGTACATNTGAACCAGGTAAAAGCAACAGCTGGAGCAATTGCTCTACGCAAACAGCTATTATTATTATTATTATTATTAAATTATAGTCTGATAATATTTCTTAAACTAGATCAAACGAATGAAAAAATCCCTCATTTTCAAATTTATTTGCGAACAAATTATACGAAAATTTGATATTGCAATCAGTCATTCCTTTATATATTTGTTCATTCATTCACTCATACATTCATCTATTCATATACATTCATCTATTCATTCATTCATTCATTCATTCATTCATTCATTCATTCATTCATTCATTCATTCATTCATTCATTCATTCATTCATTCATTCATTCATTCATTTATTCATCTATTTATTCATTCATTCATTCATTCATTCATTCATTCATTCATAAACAGCTGATCTTTTCTTATCGATAAGCTCCATCTCTCTGATCATCTGTAGGCATGAACAAAATGAATACAAAATGGAAAAATACAATTTGGAAAAAGACCAGAAAAAAACTACAAGGACACCACTTGATGGCATGATAGTTAAAAGCATCCGTTCCTGCTGCTGCAGTTACCGGGTTTGAATGCAAGCAGATGCTCTTTTCAGTCATATTTGCGTGATGTGTCGCACAGTTTTCACAGGCAAGCTACAGATACAAAAGTACAAAATATGCATCAATAAATACAAGAATACTTTAATTAAATCCAAATTGAATAAAATACCTGCGATATTTCAGTCTCAATTTTATTTTTATACTCGTCAACTCTTCCTAATTTTGTCATCTTGTCTAAAAAATTTCGCCGATCTTCTATCTCCTGCTCCACTAACGATGATGATGATGATGATGAAGACGATGATGAAGAAGATGATGAAAATGATGATGATGGTAGGATGGGTTAGGGTTAGGGTTAGATCATTAGATGATGATGATGTATGCGTTGTTGTTGTTGTTGACGACGATGATGATGATTACGTTAGCAACGTCACGAACAAAAGTATTTCAACTCACGTTCATAAAATCGATCGACGCCTTTCCGATGACCATCACTGTCATCATCATAATCACCATTATTATTATTATTATTTTTATTATTGTTATCATTATTTTTATTATTAATATTCTTGTTTTTCGGATCAATATCCTCGCCATAGGCAAAAATATTTGAGAGCCTCTGCTTATCTTTTTCATAACAACCGCCTCAAAGTAAAAATATATGTAATTATTATTATTATATTATAATTATTATAAATATCCTTAATATTATTATTACAAAGTTTTGAGATTAGTTAGATGTACCGAATTTGCAAGATGGCGAAGGTTCATACTTCTCCCTCTCGTAAGCGTTGCTCGCTTTTATCTGCTCAAACGACTTTAAAGAACATTTGTAATTTCTGGAGGGAACATTATATAGTAGAAGTAGTAGTAATAGCAGTAGTAGTAGTTATAGTAGTAGCAGTTGTAGTTGCAGTAGTAGTAACAATATTAGTGTAAACGATATGACATATGAATGACAGGCTTACTTGGGATTTAAATACTTAGCACTGACTGCTTTGGGAAGAGATTTTTTATTTTTAGCTGATTTTTTGACGACTGGTAAAGGCTCTCCGGCTAAAAAAAACGTCAAAGAACAAATCAAATTGCGTTTAAAACTAAACGAATTACGTACCAGTCTAATAAGTTTTTTGATTTCTCAAAGTTAAACTTGAAAAATAATCAAAAATCGAAAATATTCGAGCTTTGTTCAAACTTCTCAAGGAGTTTTCAAACTGCCTCCTCTGCAGGTGCGTCAGATGTGCTTCATCCATCAAGGCTTTTGTTAAAATTTTGATAAATTTAATCATACTTTGATGAATTAAATTAAATCTTAATTTGAAAATAGATAATTTGCTAGGGTAATGATCAATTTAAAATGAAACTTTTGAGCATGTTTTGAGTTTCTTTGCTGAAGGACGGCTTTGTAGTGTTGAACATTCCAACATCGGCGACGGGTTTATTATTAATATTATTCATAATTTTCGTTTGTTCTTCGGTTATAACAAATTATTTAAGAACTGAATTAACAATTTTTATTTAATTCATTTGGGATTTGTTTGTCGAATTCATTAAATTCGAATTCTTCAAGAAACAACAGCACGGAAGAGAATTTAATTTAAAGCGAGCGATTCACAATATACAAACATTCAGTGCTCATGGTAACGACGCAAGCAAAGACGTTTTAGCAGTTTTCAGTGTTTTCAACCATAGATATGACAGTATATAAATCTCTTTCAGTGTGCTATTGGGTGGAAAAAAATAGCTGAAAATTCACTAAAAATGGAAATTTATTGAGATAATATTCAAACGTTTAGCAACTAAATTGCAATATCAAAATACAGCTACGGCTACTACTACTGTTAGTACGTCTACTACTGCAGCAGCAGCAGCAGCTGATGCTGCTGCTACTACTACAACTACAGCTAAATGGAAATTCTAAAATAATAGTACTACTTATATACATTCAAATAGTTGTTTAATCTCCCGACTATTTACGTAATGCAATATGACATTTAATTATTTGTTGGCATTTTCGTTGATTTCCTGTAGTTTCATTACGTCATTTTTGACGTCATTTTTAGCGTCATTGTTGTCTTGGTGATAAAAACTACTAGCTGAATATTTCGTCATCGTCGTCTTCTTCATTGGCATCAGCGTCATCGTCACTGTCTCCATCGTAAAAACTGGAGCCAATGGAACTGACGGTTGGAGAGCAGGGTTTGGAATTTTCTTTTGAAATCTGTAAGTTTTATTAATTCATTCATCTATTCATTCATTCATTCACTCATTCATTCATTTATTCATTCGTTCGTTCGTTCATTCATTCGTTCATTCATTCATTCAAACTTGTTTTTTTTTACTATTTTAGTTATGAAAGGTAATTTTTTAACATGGTAAAAAACCTGTGATGGATCGTCAATAATGCGCCTTTTTTCCGTAAAAAGTGAATTTGAAGGATCTATATCCGTTTCCTGTTGCGGTCTTTTGCGATAGTTTTGGCATTTTTCATGTTTTTGGTTTTGGTAAAGTTCATTGATTGTTTGTGGCTTGATGACGTCATTACTGACGTTGTTGTTGTTGTTTGGTTTTTTGTTGTTTGATTTGAAGTTTTTATTATCGAAGTTACTTTCTAGATTCGTGTTAACTTGTTTGCTGTTTTTGTTGTTGTAGTGATCAAATTTTGTAGCGCCCAACTGATTACTTTGTCTGTGGGTAGAATTCGAATTTTTATTTCTATGCTGCATCTCAACGGTTTCCATTTTGAAGATTTGAATCGATGTTTCTTGATCAAACTTATTATCGCCTTTCATAATTTCTAAATGTCTTTTATTCCGATTAGGGTAATATTCAAAGTTGTTATTATCGTCAGCGTTCATCTTATTATTGTTATTATTCATATTTAAATCTATAATATTACCGTTACTATAATCTATTTTTCTCCCATTATCGCTAATAACATTAAGTTGTTGTTGTTGTTTTGTGTTCTTTGTTTTTTCTTCTTCATTTTTTTGATATTCCAGAACCTTGTCTAGAAGTTTGATGTATTTGATGGCCAGGCGAAGAATTTCGTTTTTGCTCAATTTTTTATCAGGCGGATGGGTTGGAACTAACTTTCGTAGTTCCATGAATGCTCCGTTCACGTTCTGTCATTGAATTTGATAGTGATTGAATAGATATATATCAATTATTCAATCTATCTATCTATCTATCTGTCTGCTGTCCGTCTGTCTGCCTGTCTATCCGTCTATCGATTTATCAATCAGTCACTCATTTAATCAATCAATCATTCAATCAACCATTCAATTAACCATTCAATCAATCATTCAATCAATTTTATTTAAATAGCACGATTTCAAGAGAGTCAATTTATACGGATTGCGAAGAAGCTTAATTTGAAAACAGTTAAAAAATCTGACCGTGACAATAAATTTCAAATCAATTCATTATAAATATTGCATTTATAATATGATTAGATACAAATAAAATAAAGTAATAAAATAGAGACAAATTATAAAATAAATAATCATTTTTTACATTTTACACAATCAATAAACGACTTTTTACATCGTTAACCTGCTGTCGCCAACGCTCTCTACTATTTGTGAAAATTCTTTTCACAATTTTTTTTGGCGGCTGATGTAGTTGCTGCTGCTGCTGCTGCTGGGATGACTTCACATTCGAGCCCAGGCTTGAAGTAACGCTAGCCATGAAGTCGTTGTTGCCGTAGTTGTAGCACATAAGAGAGGATGTACCCCCGGGTTTGTTGTCGGTTACTTGGTGAATCGAATCGAAATCGATTGCTGACGGTATTGTGTGATTCGGTAGTTGGTTGGCGATTGTTGTGTTATCGTCGATGTTGTTGTTGTTGTTGTTGGTGGTGGTGGTGTCGTTGTTGCCCAACATTGTGGATTTTGTTGGAAGTTTGTTGAAATCTGAGGTATGATCATTACAAATACGTTGAAAAGATTCACTCTTTGAGGTTGTAGTTGAAGCTGCTGTGGTAGCGAACGACGTCAAGAAATTGAATTGGAGAAAACGCTGTGGTGGGTAACGCGGCGGCGGGGGCGGTAGAAAATATTGGTGGAATGGGAAGTTGTATGTCAGTGGTGTGGTGTAGTTGCGCGTGTTGTAGTGGCGTGGAATAAATGGAAAAAATGTATTGGTGTTGTTGTTGTTGACGTTGAGGATGTTGTTGTTGCTGCTGCTGTAAGAGTTAATGTTATTATTGTTGTTATCTTTTTGGTCATTTTTGAATTTGTCGTTGTAAACGCCGTTGTTATTGTTATTATTATTGTTGTTGTTGTTAGTGTTATTATTATCATTATTGTTGTTGTTGTTGAGGTGGTATGTTGCCAAAACATTTTGCAGCAAGCTTGTTGCTGTAATTGTTGATGTTGTCGATGATGTTGTTGTTGCTGTTGGAAATTGTTGCGACGCCTTTGGCAACACGTCTACAACATTATTTGGTTGTTGTTGTTGTTGATGATGATGTTGTTGTTTATTACGTTTGCTTTGTTGTTGTTGCTGCGTTTGTCGGTTCGAAATCGATTTCTCTTTTTTATGTACCGTGTTAGTATTCGTTCGGTTATTTAGCATCATTGTTGTTACATTGGCTGCTGTTGTTGTTGCTGTTAGTGTAATTGATGTTGTTGTATTCGATGTTGTTGTCGATGATTTTGTTGTTGTTGTTGTTCCATGAGAGCCTTCTAAAATTGAAGGCATGATCCTAACTGAGTAAAACAAGAAAAAGTTAAAATTTTTGCAACAATTAAAGTTATTGCTAGAAATATTACTACTAAGTACTACTACTACTACTGTTGTTGCTGTTACTACTACTACTACTACTGCTGCTGCCGCTAATACTACTACTACTGCTGTTACTTTTACATAAATGAATTAAAACAGTCTTTATATTAAAGTTAAACAGTTCAGAAATTAAATTAATTACGTAATGACTCGGCCATTAGCTCGCAATTTGTAATAATTATATTCGGTGCAACTTCGCTTATGATACTACTAAAACTGCTATTACTGCTGCTACTACTACTATTATTACTACTGCTGCTGCTGCTGTTGCTGCTGCCACCACCACTACTACTACTACTACTACTGCTACTGCTAATACTTCTATTACTACTACTACTACTACTACTACTACTACTACTACTACTACTACTACTACTACTACTACTACTACTACTTGTAGTAATAGAAGTAACTACTTATAATTATAATAGTGCTAACAATAGTAACGATAATGTTAATTGTTGTTTTCAAACGACTAACTTCGATATATCTAGTTTTAACCTCTGCAGTTTAAGAAAAGGCTCCTGATATAGCGAACTTTTGATTCAACCAATTAATAAATCAATTTGTTAATTAAATAATTAATTACTAATAAGAAAACTAATAAGAATAAACGATTATCAGACATT